AGAGGACGAAATGATCATGGTCAGCTTGGCGACAGGACCGCCTGAGTCCACTGAGGGACCGCCGAGTTGGACAAATTGGCGAGGACAACGCTTGGCCGAACAGTTCCAATCCAGGTACTCCGCTTATTATGCGAAGGGTGCTGTGTATTTTGCCGTCTGAACGAGCCAGCTTCAGCCAGCCGCCAGAGAGGTGATGACTGATGTGAACAAAGTTCTTGCGCGAGACTCGTACAGCCACACACCAAGTTTTTCAATTATTGCTGCTACAGTCTCGTTCTGAATGGTTTTCAGGCCTCTTCCTGCTCAACAACAACAGTTTGGTGGCTGCTGGTGACTTTGTTGGCACAGGCAAGGCAATTTGAGTGAAGCACATCATTACTCGAAATGCTTTGCAGGCTTGCCGAGGAATAACACGGTTTGGCCAGCTTCCCAGTGTTGCGATGAGAAATGCCTTGCATGTTTCTTGATTGTGCCACAAGGAGTACGGTGCGTACATTCTCACCAGATGAGGCTGGTGGCTGGGGAAAGTTGCGGATGCCGTGTGTTTCTTTGCAGGTCCAGCAGATCTCCTTCGACGTGTGACAGGTCGAATGTGTTCCCTTGTGACTTTGAAGCCAAAGGCTTGCCACAGTCACACAGAAAAATTGTTCCCACGCGGTCGAGCAATTCAAAGCTGTACATAGTTGACAACGGGCAGAGTCAGAGTACTCACGAGGCACATTGCAGAAAGGCATGAGAAGTGCAAGGGCAAGGATGAAGTGTGTGTGTGTGCTGCCAGGGATGTACAAATCAGCCTGGCAACAGCATCCAAGATGCAGACGCGGCTTGTCTTGAATAGAGAATGCAGACCTTGAGTTAACTGAGCAGCGCCCAAAACCTCGGTTGGCCGCTTTAGTAGATGGTTCTAGAGCTAGATCAATGGGGCTTTTGTGGGGGCTTTTACAAGCCTTTATCAAAATGTTGGAACCAGAACGGGTTTCGGGCGCTATACAGATTCAACTTCTGTGGCCGCTCCATTTCACTTAGGTCTCAGTGCAGCCGCTTCCGCTGCTGCAAAAGGTGGTGACGGCCGAAGCTGGCTGGCTCTCTGGCAAGGACTGGGTGTGTTTTGTTGGAGGCAACCCTTCTCGCCTGAAGGACACCACGAGGAAAACTGAGATTCTTGAGTCCTTCTATTTTGACACCTCTGCCTCAAGTGGTTCTGTGGCCACTCAAAATCGTTCTGCTCTGTGCATGGGCCCTTTGCTCGGAACTTGCGCCAAGAGAGTCGGTGTACAGTCTTGTTGGATGGTTTTAGAAAGCCTCCAGGAAGCAACCCATTTGTAGGGCTTCATTTTGAAAAACGCGCTTCCAGCATGTAGGGAACTATTCAAACCTACTGAAACAACAGCGGATGGGCCCACAAAATTGATACAGTAACGATAGTAACGCACGCCGGCCTTGCCAACCAGTTGGTGCCAATGTGTGGACAGGAGCTCTTCGCAGATAGGGTGGCAAGCTCACGCAAAGTGGTGGAGGCAGTATCACAAGAGCAGCTGACCCTTGAACGCGGCGAGCACAATCTGTGGGTTTTGTCTTCGGGCGAAACCCAGGCGATTACCTTCTGGATGATTTCATTTCGTTGAGTTTCTTGTTGACGCTGCCTGCATTACGATAGGTTTTGGTTTCCACAAGCCAGCAGTGAGCACAATCTGTGGGTTTTGCCAGGATGTGTGTGTTCCTGTTCCTGCACGAAGCAGACGGCGGCCACCCAGTGCGCAGGTCGGGAGCATCCGCAAGTTGCTGCGGTGCGGTGCTTGCCGGTTTTGCCAGGAGAGTCGTGAACGGCCAAGCGTCCGAGCGTGCCCTTGCAACCAGGAGACGTGTTTTCCCTTTCAGGGTACCCTTCTGGGGATTCAAAGGACAACTACACGACACACCCGCAACTTATGATGCAGGTACTTCCCAGCAGTTGGACCTCGAGGCTGGCAATGCGCCTGGAATCACTTTGCGCTGAATTGCGGTAGGTGCCGGTGTGAAGCCCAAGGGGCCGTAGGAAGTCCGGCGCAAGTGGATCAGCTGGCTAGGCCCATGCCTGTGAACTTGCGCGCGCGATGGTGGACGAAGTTGCCTGAATCTGAAATTGGATTGGCAACAGCCTCACACCCGAAGGGTTCAACAAAAGATGAGTACTATTCAATTCAAAATATGCGATGGAACGTCATTATTCGAAACACACAACGCTCGAGCGGAAACTCCACTTTGAGTGCGCGGGGCTTGAATGACTCCATCCCGCAAAACAAAGCAGACGCAGATTTTGAGATCGGCTGGATGGGATGGCGGCCCATCCTCGTCAGTTAAAGCAGGGATTTGGACGAACAAATTCCGCTTCAGCAACTGTTCAGAAACCGCGCAGCATGCGCTCCAGCGACTTCGCCGGCAACTTAGCAGCAGCCGAAAAGACGCCCGGCCCGCTTCAGAAATTGCACGCTGCAGCAACTACTCTCAGCAATCAAACTTT